TTGGTCTGCCATTATAGAAAATGGTAGGATGCTTCCTTTAAAGGCTGGAAATAGAGATGCCATATGACGCCACAATCACCCTACTTGGTGTATATCCTAGAGAAATAAAAGCCAAAACATGAATAGATGCACATGCACCCAGGTTTATTGCAGTCTATTATGACAGATGTGTTGGACTGTTAAACACAGGCCAGCAGGGGCAGTTCTCATCCCTATGAGTTGGAATTGCTTCAATGGCAGTGAGTATGGAGTTTTTATGATAAATATGCATAACACATATATTCAAGAAAACATTGAAAAACTTTGGAAATGCTGATGGCAACATATGTACAAGTGTGCTTAATACTATTGAATAATGGATTGCTATAAGATTTGTAAGAGCCCTCCAATAAAATCATTAATTTAAAATACTCAATAAATCCAAAAACATTGAAAACATTAAAGTATAAAGTGAAGTTGTGAAGTACCTTATAATATGGATAAACTGAGGATATTCTGCTGAGTGAAATTAGTTAATAATAAAATGACAAATGTTGTATGAGACTGCTATTATAAAAAGTCAACGCAAGATTTTCTCACTCAAAGAAACATTGTTTCCCACTAAAAGAAACATTTGAGACCTCAAAATATTCTTGCTTTCATAGCCTCCTATAGGAAACTTGAAAAACTATACAATCGTGCATGTTTTAGCTATAGACATTTTCATCAGAAGTTTAAAACATTGCAAAGGATAACATTCACAGCATATTGTAATTGTTAGCATTTAAAAATAAAATTGTTATATAATTTTAGGTATAACAGGTTGAACATAAATTCCAAGCAATTTGATATCCCATCACTCATTCAGAAAGGCAAGCCAGAACAAAAGATGAGTGAACCGTTCTTTAGCAATTGAAAAGTTTACTTGATACTTCTATTCTAATTACTCTCTAGAATGTCACCTTGAAAAGTCTTTATAGCTCAACCTGCAACACTTTCCTGTGATAAAACGTGATCTGTATAGTATTTAAATTCTTAAAAATTCTTGTGATCATAAGGTTCTAAGTGTTTGAAAATTTTCTTTTGGAGCAATCATTTTTTTAGAAGCAGATAATGGATGAATATAATGTAAATAGCACATATTTTGATAAATCCTAATTAAATATAAAAAAGTGTTATTGAACACACACCTCATAAGATGGAGAGCACTATTTTATTTATGTTCATAATGAATTAATGTAGTCATTGAAGAAAGTTACTTCTAGAATGAGACACAGTTCAGCGTCAGTTCTATTTCTGTGGTTTTTTCCCCCCCATAGCTGTAAAGTGCTGAGAAATCATGTTCACACATTAACCTGGAATCAGCTTGCCAGATTAAAAACCTGATCCATTGCTGTGGAGTGATTCAGACTCAGCGATCCTATACAACAAGAGTAGAACTGTTCCCTAGGGTTTCTAAAGGTATAAACCTGTATGCAAGTGGATTGCCACACATTTCTCCCACGAGATAGCTAGTGGGTCAAACCACCTACCAGCCATACAGTTATAGCTAAGTGCTTAACCACTGCATCCCCAGGGCTCCTTTGTCAGAGTTAGCCCCCCCACCCCTGAAAAAACACAGGGCATTCAGTTAAACATAAACATCAAATAAACAACAAATTGTTTTCTTCGTATGCCCCAAGTACTTTATGAGATATATTGATACTAAAAAATAGTTGCTGCTCATTTGAATTTAACTTGGCAATACCAGATCAAGTTTTGTCACAGCGTGATTACTCCTTTTTTTTTCAGCTCCTAAGTTGTATGCTGAAAGTCACATACTTGTCAACAACTTGAATTTCACTAAAAGTGAAGATCGAAAACCATTCGGACAAAATGGCTTATCCCTGAGCTGCTACAGTGGGTCTCACGTGCTCAACACTGGGCGACTCTTTTGACTTGGCTCTGCTTCTTCTCCCCAGGGCAGGGTCCCTGCTCAGATTTGGGAGTAGGAGAAGAATGATTGTGACATTTAACCACATCAAGTTGTAATAAAAGTTGAGAATCAACATTTCTTTAAAATTATCTGCAGTCCTGGCAATACATCTTTTAGGAAGTCTTGGTGTGCCCCAGTTCAAGACCAGTGTTGTAAAGGATAAGGACCAGGAGTTTAGCACACAGGTTGGGATCAATGATTAGCTTAAAACATTGTGCAGGATAAAATTTCCAATATATGGTAAATATTAACAACCTGGATATGCAGAAAACACAAACTTGCTTGTTGAAAGTAAGGAGAACTTGAAGCACTTGTTGATGAAAATCAAGGATTGCAGCCTTCAGTCTGGATTATAATTTAATGTAAAGAAAGCCCAAATCCTCACAACTAGATCAATAGGTCACATCATGATAAATAGAGAAAAGGTTGATGCTGTCAAGGATTTCGTCTTGCTTGGATTCACAATCAATGCTCATGGAAGCAGCAGTCCAAAGATAGAATGACACATTGTATGGGTAAATCATTGCACAAGACCTCCTTGGAGTGTTGGAAAGCAAGGATGTTACTTTGATAACTATGGTGCATCTGACCCAAGTCATGCTACTTTCCAATCACCACACATGCATGTGAAAGTTGGAAATTGAATAAGGAAGACTGAAGAATTGATGCATTTGAATGATGGTGCTAGCAAAGAATATTTTAAGTACCACAGACTGCCAAAAGAACAAAACAATCTGCTTTGGAAGAAGTACAGACAGAATACTCCTTTGAAGCAAGGACGGTGAAACTTGATCTCATGTATTTTGGACATGTTATCAGGAGAGACCAGTCACTGGTTTCTGGTAAAAGGTATCATGTTTTGTGGGGGAAAGCCAGCCCCCCACAACTAATCGTGGGTTCCATAGGTTCAATTGTACAGTTAAAATATATATAATATAGATTATAATAAAATCATTGAGAATAAGGAGAGATAGAAGAGAGTGAAATAATGGAGTCAGACACATTTCAAGGTAGCACGCTCACCTCCTGGATGGCCATGATCTTACCAGCCAGATCTGAGCATAGCATGAGCTGAGGGCAGGAAAGCGAGCCCGAGAGAGGACAGAAGGGTTGATTGCTAACCAAAGCTTTTATCTGCTTAGGGGGCATATTACGAGTAACCACACATGTCACAGGAAGGGGCTGTACAATAGGCATACAAGCAATAGGAGGGGCATATACAATAGGCATAGGCGTAACAGGAAGGGGATGAGCTAAGGGTATACACATGATAGGAAGAGGAGGGACTAGGGGTATACATGTGACAAGGGCAGACCCAAGATTCAGGATGGTAGCCTACCCTTGGTCGCCCTTGAGTAGGCTTGACCTCCCTGGGCTCTCCTTCAGGGAAACAATCTACTACTATCTGTATCAGAAGGGAGTGGGCCCTACTTATTGTAGGATAAACAGTGGTGTTTGCTTGCTCTGGATGGCTGATAACCCTTAGGGAGAATAATCCCTGACCTACTTTTCATTGACCTCCAAATATATAGTCTCTCGCCACTTATAGCTAAGTGTGGCATATATTTGGGGGAGACAACCTGGGGGAAATCTTTCTGTTTCCCACAATTCCCCCTTTTGTTTTATATATAAAATTCAAAAGACCCACAGGGACGAAGTGGTTATTTTCTTTCTATACATTGAAAGCTGTCAAGGCAAATTTAATGACCAAATTAAAACAGCCCAAAAGTCGGGCTTATAGCAAACATTTTGAATCCAGGTATATCGGATAAAGTCCCCTGATGCCCATCTGCTATTAGAGGAAGGTATGAGAGGGATTGGATGTCTCGGCAGGAAGAAATAGAGCAAATAGGAACGTCTGCTTCTGTAGGGAGATGGAATCAACCACGTGCTCACTTTAAGGCAGCACAGCTTTAGCGGGAGAAACTGTGGAAATGATAGACTACCGCAGGAAAATGTACTTGGACTATATCTCCAACCACCAGAGTGGCGGCCTTCCTACCGTGGAACACTGGCCTTCCAGATTCCCTCCGTACCAGTCAGGGAATAAGTCCCAGTCCTATTTCCCTCAATGTTAGTTTCCCACAATGCTTGGTAAAGTAGAGGGACCATGAAGAAGAAGTCGCATGACAAAATGGGTTGAGCCAGTGGCTGCAATAAACAGTTTAAACATAAGAACAATTGTGAGGACGGTGCAGGACCTGGCAGTGTCTTGTCAGAGGCTTGTCCCATGGCATCAGACACGTTGAACCAACCTGATAGCACCTAGCAATGAATTACACAGCTATTGTTCATTTGTGTATTCTGCATCTCGCCTCCCCTTGTCTACTTCTTGTCTGCAAATCATGTGTTCCCAGGGCTGCCAATCACAGTACTCTACCCTGCCTGTAGGACGGGTGTGCCATCATTCCTGGCAATCACCGTTAACCATGACCCAGGCCAGAGGCATTGGTTCAAGGAGCACCCATTAGAGGCAGTCTTATGGGATTGATACACAGTTGTTGGAAGAGAGAGGCTTGTAATTGCCAACTGAATTAGTTGTGGTCTTAGAGCCCTGGGAGACATCAGTGCATTCTCCTGGCTGGAAGCCCACCCATACCAGGGAAGGGATTTGCAGAGAGGCAAACTCAAGGGTCTGATGCCACGGGACAAGCCCTGAAGTGCACCACCTCTGGAGGTAGTGCCACTCGTGGGCTGTCCAGCTGCGTCTCAATAAATGCCCTATGTTCCCTTCCTTCTATTTGAGTTGCTTCCACGTTCAACTTAAAGTGTTTGCATTAACGGCTCAGGAAGAAGAAGCGCCGTTGTCTGTTTAATCACCGAACCACGTCTTCACTGGGAGACCGAGTTCCCCCAGCACTTACTGTGGAGAAGCGGAGGGGACTTTTTGGCGTCTGGTGAGCACGTGGCTGCCTGGTCTTTCCTCTGCATCTCTGCAAACTCGGCTAAGGGTCTGAGAAGCGCCAGGGCTCCGGAACATTGCAAGTAATTGCCATCCAGATGCAGCTCACTGGGGGAAGGGAACAAAATGCACTGTTCACTTGACGCCACTTGCACTTCCTGACTTTTGAGGTCCTCCTCTCATAAAGTCACAAGTCGTAAAAGCAGATCCAGGGACAAGGTCAGCTGGCTAAATGCATTCAGCGTCCCACCTTAATTCTTACACTTCACTAAAGGGACTGTCTCTGGCAACAACATTCAAGAACCGAAGGGAGGCAAAACAGGATGAATCAAATTGCAATGAGCCACTAGGGGAAGTGACTGGCTGATAGACTTTGTAAACAGCAGGTGTGTAACTCCAGAGGGAACAGGGCCAAGAAGCGTGGGAGAAGCTGAGGCAACGGGTGCCTTACCAAATGGCGCTCCGGCTTACAAGCGCGCCCAGCATGGGCCCACTCTGAGGCCCCAGCCCACAGTAGCGCAGACTGAGGCCGTGCAGCCGGTGGTTGATCTCCAGGCCAGAGAACAGGGTCTCAATTCCCTCATTTCCAAATCTAGAAAGAAGCCACAAGAACAAATCACTGACTCAGAACTGGTGTCATCTGTTCGGTTGTTCATTTTAAAGCACTCCCCAGGGCCAGGAGAGGCACTTTGAAGGTCCTCGATGTGGGCTACCAGACCAGGGCTGGGCTGTGAGGGGAGGTTGGTGTGAGGGGAGGAAAGAGACCAGGAGCCTAGCTCCTGGGATAAGGAGCAGCAGGCAGTTGGAAGTCTGCATTCAGAGGTACAGGGAAGAACAAGTTCTTGACCCTGAGATGGCTGCCCAGAGGGGAGGTGGCCCAGCTGACAGGGACAAAAGAAAGCTGGGCAGACGTCAACAGCACCCAGGCGCTGTAAGAAAGGAGGCCTGGAAAGTCCAGAGCACGCTCAGCAGAGTTTAACCTCTGGCCTCTCCGCTCCACTCCCCACGCGTGGTCCTCTGTCGCTCCCTGCTTTGTGCTGCAAAGTCCTCCCAGCGGTCGTTGACACCAGCAACAGCCTCTGAGCTGAATATTGGCAAGATCAGAAAACGGAGGTGCAGGGAGGTAACGTGACCTCTTCACAGGATTTTTTTTTTTTTTTACCTTTCCACTTTTTTTTTTTTTTTAAACATTTTATTAGGGGCTCATACAACTGTTATCCCAATCCATACACACATCAGTTGTGTAAAGCGTATTTGTACATCATTTCTCAAAACATTTTCTCTCCATTTAAACCCCCGACATTAGGTCCTCATTTTTCCCCTCCCTCCCCGCTCCCCCCTCCCACATGAGCCCTTGATAGTTTATAAATTGGTATTTTGTCATATCTTGCCCTGTCCGACGTCTCCCTTCATCCACTTTTTGGTTGTCTGTCCCCCAGGGAGGAGGTCACACACAGTTCCATGTAATCGGTTCCCTCTTCCCTACCCATTCTCCCTTTACCCTCCCTGTTTTGCCACTCACACCACTGGTCCTATAGGGCTCATCCATCCTGCTTCACAGGATTTTTAACATCAAGACTTGAACGTCAAGGTGACTCCAAACCCATGGCCTTCAAGTCAATTCTGATGCTCCATGACCCTATGCGACAGAGTAGGACTGCTCCCTAGGGTTGTGTCACGCACTGTCTACCTGTGTTATATAACCGAAGGGACACCGTTGCATCTAGTTGACTGCCTCGTGGTGACCCTGGCAGCGACCGTGCCCCCACGGGTTTCCAATGGCTGGTTCGTAGGAAGTAGATGGCAAGGCACCTCTGGGTGGACATGCACCTCTGGCAGACTTTCCATTAGTTGCTGAACACATTAGTCATTTCTGACACTCAAACTTCTCTCCTCTACTCTTGCCCACACGCTCTTTGGTGGCAGCATCACCTTATACATGCTTGCCTCTTCCTTCACAATGAGCACCCGTCACCAGAGAGTTGTTGAAGACAATGGGAGAATGAAAGGAGACTGCTTAGGACTACTAGCATTTACTCGGCAGCACCAACTCTCTGGAGATTTTAGAGCCTCTTCTTTCAACAGCAACTTGAGAGAGGAGAAAGTTGGACAAGGACCTCGACCTCAAACCACCACCACCACCCCGCCCCCCCTGCCCCCGCCCCTGCCTCAGCGGGCAGCAGTGAGAGCCCTGCAGAACTCTGCGACTCCAGGTTTACCTGCAGTAGTCGAGGGCCAGGGAGAACAAACTGCTGAACTGGAGAGCCTTCCCCAGTCTCTGTACAGACCATGGCCCCATCTGGCAATCAATGATTTCCAAGCTGGTAAAGGGGCAGGTGGTTCGCCCCTTCCATTCCAGGAACAGCGCCTAGGAATGGATGCAAAGTAGAAGGCGTTTACACAATATGTCTTCGCTTTAGTGTGTTGCTTAAAAGTCAACCAAGCTCATCACATCAACATTGTGGGTTCCATGAAAATGCTCCATTTATCTAACGGGAAAATGGGATGAGAATAAAAATAACTGCCATTGAAAGATCCACTGAAGAATGACATGGGAACCATCAAGCTTTATGATGAGACATATACGTACATGCTGCATATTTTTTTAGATACTCTATCTGAACTCACAAATTTATTCTCTGATGTTGTATTTGTTTTAGTTGAGAAGTGTGGCTAAGCCAATCTTCTTGTTTTTTTGAATTATGTATGTTTTATTTATTTTTTTTCAATCTTTTGTTTCCTTTTTGTTCAGTCTCAATGCTGGGTTGCCTACTTATATAAGACAGGCATGGGAAGCAAGCTCGAGGAGAAAGCAGTGGGACTGATGGCCCCGGAGGGACTAGTGGGGGAAGGAGGTCAGGGAAGGGAGTGGTGAGCAAACAACTCAATAAACAGGGGAACAACTAGGACATTAAAATCAACAATGAGGAGGACATAGAGATCCTGGGGGTTGGAGCAACATCAATCTAGCTGAGAGGATTTACTAAGAGGCAGAAATAAGGGGAGTATGCTGGTGGGGCAGGAGGATGGTCAAAGGAAACAGAGGAACAATCTAGGAAGCAAAACTATGGATAGAAGTATAAGCATAGGTATATACCTATATAAATATATTAGTTCATAAAAATAGAGGTATTTGTGGATGTACATATATTTATATGGCAACACACTGAGGTAGTGGATGGACTTTGGGCCTCTGCTAATGCCCTTGCTCATTGCAAGAACACTTTGCTCTAACAACCTGGCATTCTGTGATGTTCACCCGCCAGGCACAATTGCTGAAGACAAAGTGGGTGCACAAGCAAATGTGGTGAAGAAAGGGGATGGTGTCTGGCTATCAAAAGATAAAGTGTCTGGGGTGCTAAAGGCTTGAAGGTAAACAAATGGCCACCCAGCAGAGAAGCAACAATCCCACATGGAGGAAGCACACCAGCCTGTGCGATCAAGAGTTATCGCAGGGACTGGTTAACAGGCATCAGTAGACCCTCTTAATTTTCTGGTTTGGCAGCAGGAACACCAGGTGGGTTATTCTACCTGGATGTCATCTTGACACCCTCTGGGTATAGGTAGTTTTGAGGTAGGACCCAGTTTGTTCGGTCAGGCCTCCACTCCTGCTGGTGCAGTCCTTGTGGAATGCCATGTCCCCTCAGCCCCGCTTGGTGGTCCTCAGGGGAGAGCCAGAGAGCGAGAGCAGGGGTGACAGGAGATGGCAGGGGAGAGAGCCGGCAGGAGGGCAAGTCAATCTTCTTATAATTTAATAAATATTTTAACAATTTAATCACCTGTCATTTGTAGTTATAATGAAGATTTGAAGGTCCATCTAGAATTGAGCTGAGTTAACTTACTGACAAGATATTTCTCATGAGACATCTGGATGGGAACAATATGTCACATGAATGTAGCAAGGCCATTTCCTTTCATTTTTAAAAATACATGATTTTATTGGGGGCTCGTACAACTCTTATCACAATCCATCCAACCATCCATCCATTGGGTCAAGCACATTTATACATTTGTTGCCATCATCATTCTCCAAACATTTTCTTTCCACTTGAGCCCTTGGTATCAGCTCCTCATTTTTCCCCTACCTCCTCTACCCTCCCTCCCTCTTGAACCCTTATTATTTTTTCATGCCTTACATTTCCTTTGATTTTTACAATTTGCATTGTAGTGGAAATATACTTGGGTACAAAAAAAATACATCAGCCCAACAATTTCTACCAGAATAATGCGATTACATAAATTACTGTCTTCATGTTGTGCAACCATTTTAGTTAACAATTTCCTAAATGATTCTACCACCACTGACATAAACTAGCTGTGTCCTAAGTAAAAACTCTGCCTATTCTGGTAACCATGTTGGTTTCTAGGCACCCTGGCCTATTTCACAGAAGTGAGATCGTACAGTATTGTTCTTTATGACTGACTTCTTTCGCCCAGCATAAAGCTTTCAAGGTTCGTCCACGCTGTTCATACACAGTTCGTTTCTTTTGCTACATACACAACATTTTGTTCGCCCTTCATCTGTTGGTGGACATTGGGGCCAAGTGGATGGTGTTGCAATGAACGCTGATGTACAAGTCTGTCTGTGCCACGCCTTTCAAGCCTCTTGAGCGTGTGCCCGAGAGTGGAATCTCTGGGAAGGTATTTCTTGTGATGACAAAGAATGCCAATGACAGCTAGCGCAATACCCGACACATAAAGGAGGTCTTTAAAAGCGCAAATCACGACAGTCATGAAACCCACCATTTAATAATTGTAATGACCACAACCTGAGGATTCCTTCAATGCAACGGAGGCCCCAGAGGCTTGGAGGCAGGGGGGTTGGAGTTAGGGTGGTTTTTTTTTGCAGTAATGACATATTGGTCAGCTACAGGATTCAAAATTATACCTGGGTAGAGAATGAAGCGGCGCTTGCAGCCTTAAATACAGAGCTGGTGCTCAAGAGCTCTTTAATTACAGACGGCTCCGTTTGAGTGCTGGGTTGGATTTCTCCATCTGTTTTTCAGGCTGAGGAGTCACTGTGACTGATGAGAACTTCGGCTAATGTTGGATTACCCACAGGCCCCTTGAGTCCCAACCAGAGGTCTGCAGCGGCCCTCCTGGGGGCACCAGCTCTGCTTTAGGAAAGGACCTCAGCTACGCTGCACCAAGACCGGAGTCCTCAGAAGCCTCCGGATTAATCAACAAGGCTGCAATTTTAGGAAACTGGTAAGGGGTAGCCCTCCTTTTGATCTATTGATCACGTGTAAGACTCACTGGCCTTTGTGCTAGTTATTTTCTAGAATTTATTTTTGTTTTCTTATGGTTATTTTGGAGCACATAAATAGCAAGGTTGGGGAATACTTCTAATAGGCACGGACATTTCCCATTCCTGGCAGATGAGTGAGACCGACTGGACCGACCAGACTCACTGAATTAACTTAACTCACTGCCATCCTGTTGATGCTGACTCATAGTGACCCTATAGGACAGGGTAGAACTGCCCCTGTGAATTTCCGAGACTGTAACTCATCTTTCTCCCTTGGAGAGAGTGGTGGTTTTGAACTGCTGAGCTTGCAAATTGTAGCCCAACACACACCAGCAGGGTTCCCCTCTGATTCAAAGCAGCTAAAGATGCTGACTGTAATTTTACTACTGTTATGAATGGGGCAACCCCTGTGAAAGGGTGGTTCAACCTCCAAAGGGGTTGTGACCCACAGGTTGAGAACCACTGATGTAGCCCGAGGAGTGGAACTGCTGGGTCATATAGTAATCCTCTATTTCATTGTTTCAGACCCACCAAACTGCTTTCTGCAGTGACAACACCATTTATAATCCTACCAGCCACAGAAGAGCATGCCAATTTCTCCTACCTCCTCACTGACCCTTGTTACTTTCTCTTTGTTTGTTTTTGTTTTTCATTCTCTAATGAGTAAGGAGAAGGCCAAGGTGATTCCGTGGTGGTACAACTTTCGCCTTCTATGAGGGCCCCTGATTAGGCTCTCAGTCAATAGCTGCCATGTGCAGGTCCCACCCATCTGTCAGGGGAGGAGTGTGTGTTGCTGTGATGCTGAATAGGAGCTTCCAGGCTGAGATGAACTAAGAAGAAAGACCTGGTGATCTGCTTCTGAAGTGAGCCAGTGAAAACCCTACAGAGCACCATGGTCTTGTGCTCTTGTGCATGAGGCCCTCGTGAGTCGGCCAACTTGATGAAAGCGAACATCAATAGCTAATGATGTTGAATATTGCAATGGTTGGGTGTTTTTGTGCCGACATGGTTCCTGTAGGGAAATGTGGGTGGAGTTTAGCCTGTCAATCAGGTCGCAGCTTGATTGGAGGGCAACTGAGATAAATGGCTTACTGGAAGTGGGTCTCTCTCCCTCTCTCTTTTATCTATCTATCTGCTTTCACCTTCCTGTGGACAAGCCCCATGGTGCCATGCTGATACCTGTGAGAGCCCTGGAGATGCTTCCACTGCCACTGGATCCACAAGACTTTGTACTCACTGGCCTGTGATCTTCCTGCATTTTGCATCATTCACTGCATGTGCTGCAGAGGGTTTTAGGACTAGTATCAGAATTATGGGCTAATATTGAACTTAAGGACTTGATCTGGACTGGGATGTTTTCCTAGTATACAATTACTCTTTGATATAATGCTTGATAGAAAGCTCTTTCATATATATTTATCTGGATTTGTTTCTCTGGTCAATCCAGTCTATCACAAATATATTTTCACATGCTTATTGTCCATGTGTGCATCTTCTTTGGAGAAATGTGTATCCAAGTCCTTTATTCACTTAAAACTAAACTAACTCAAAAAACTAACCTCACTGCCATCATGTGGACCAGGACAGATAAATCCCTCAGGACCAATAATGAGAGTAGCGATACCAGGAGGGGAAGAGGAAGATGTGGGGGAGAAAGAGGGAGGTGATCACAATGATCCATATAAAACCCTCTCCCATGGGGATGGACAACAGAAAAGTGGGTGAAGGGAGACATCGGTCAGTGTAAGACATGAAAATTTTTAAAAATAAATTATCAAGGGTTTATAAGGGGGGGGGCAGGGGGAAAATGAGCTGATACCAAGGGCTCAATTATAAAGAAAATGTTTTGAAAATGATGATGGCAACAAATGTATAAATGTGTTTGACACAATGGATGGATGTATGGATTGTAATAAGAGCTGTATGAGCCCCCAATAAAATTAAAAAAAAATAAAATAAAAAGCACTGGCCCTGAGGGTTTTCAAAACGGTAACTCCTTATGGGATTAGAAAGTCTCGTCTTTCTCCCGAGGAGTGACTGGCTGGACTTGAGTTGATGAAATCACTACACCACCAGGCTCCTACAGTGTTTAATTATCATAAAAGAAGTTTTGAGGAGGGAGTAGAAATTGAGGGATAACAATAGTGGCCATTTTGAGATCCTTTTTTTGTTAGTCTCTTACTTTAAAAAAATCTTTTAGTTCTTTGAACATGTTAGCTTTATATTCTCTATCTGAGAGTTATAATAATCGGAATCATTTTGGGGTCTGGAATAGCCATCTGTTGCTTATACTGGCTCTCCTTCACAGTGATATTTCTTGTGTTTCTCTGACTTTTTTTTACACAGTAAGCTCATATTTCATGGAAAATAGTTGTGGGAATCCTTTGAGCTCTGGTGGAGATAGTTTTCTCTAGAGAGGATTAACATTTGCTTCCACTTAATATACGCTAAACTCAACCATTGAGATTCTAATCTCAGTCACTCCCCCACTCCCTCAGTTTTAGAATACTAATTTAAATATTTGTCCAAAATCTTGATGTTTTCTTATGTTTCTAATGTAAGGATGAGATCTGGTATGTTAGACTCTTTTGTTACAATATAACTTATGGCATAATATGAACCCCAAGTTAATACAAAAAGTATTTGGAGATATTTTAATTTTCTTGGGGTCATAAGCAATCAGTTATTCTGCCATCCAATTTCAAGACTTGGGATGATCAGAACTTACACTATAATCCCTTGAATGCCCATCTGCCTGTGATTAAGCTTTATTGCTAAACCACAGCCCTTCATGATGTCAACCCGACATAAACCAAAAACCAAATTCATTGTCATCCATTAGATTCTGATTCAGAGTAACCTTATAGGATAGCGTAGAACTGCCCCAGAAGTTTTCCATGATTGTAACTCTTTTGGGGAGTAAAAAGCCCCATTTTTCTCCCAACTTAAAGTAAGGTGTTCATTGGGGCTTCTCTAGATGACCACAGTCTCCCAATGTTGCAAAGCTGTCAAAAATCACTGCTCAGTTCCTCTGCTTCTTTAGTCATACACCTCTTTAAAGGAATCCCACCAAAAGTCCTTGGTGATTCTCGTTTGTTTTATCTGTTTTTCTGTACATGCAACCCAGAATAGGTAAAGTTATAGAGCTAGTAAGTAGATTGAAAATTTCCTAACGGCATGGCAAGGGTGGCTGGAGGGAAATGGGAAACTAACCACAGTGAGTACCTAAAAGAAGAAAATATTCTAAAATGGGTTGTGGTGATGATTGCACAACTCTTCTAATATGATTGAAACATTGAATTCTCTGATATATGAATTATATGTCAATAAAACTATTAAATAAAATAATGGTTAATCCATAATGGTATACCCAGCAAAAGTACCTCTTAAGAATGAATGTTCTATTTGGTACACTTCTTGATAACATAATGTGAGTTAAAAAGTCACAAAAGGACAAATACTTGTACAATAGCATTCCATTTATGTAAATAACAACACATGGATAGGTAATGCAAAATTCAAAACATGTATGGGACTAAATATACCAACTTTAGACTAGTAGATGAAGGGAAAGGTATAAAATGAAATTCTAACTATTGTGTTTGTAAATAACTATGATTTGTATGCCCTGGTGGAGAAAAGGGCCAATTATATCTGGGTGGCAGAGCCCTGGTGTTATAGTGGTTACTAGTTGGGCTGCTAACTGCAAGATCCACAGTTTGAAATCACCGGCTGCTCCTTTGGAGAAAGACAGGGCTTTCTACTCCTGCAAATAGTTCCAATCTCAGACACTCACGGGCGCAGTTCTACCCTGCACTGTAGGGTCACTCTGAGTCAGCATAGGCTCAGGGCAGTGAGTGGATACATGGTTGTCATGTCTATTATTTTCTTCACTTTAATAAAGCTTAAAATATTGCACTAAAATGCTTTTTAAAGGAAAATCTTGCAGCATGTCAGTCAGAAACCATATGAACTATTACTTGAACGCACAATATAATATTCTTATGCAAAGTTTGAGAAAAAAATTTAAATTCATGACTCACAAGTCTGGCAACCTCTGGGTTGCTCAGCTGAAGGCCCCAGACGCACAGCTCTTTCCCCAGAGTGTAACACTCATCTCGGATGGCCATGAGCAAGGGTTCCAAGGACACTGGTAGCAAGCTTGCCCCAGGGTTGCCAGGTTTTGACAGGATAAACTAGATTGTAAGGGAAAAAATTACATACAGAGATTTCCATGTATCTGAATATAGTCAATGGACAACAGAAACACATTTAAAATAATAATTAACTTTAGATCAGGTGGGCATTATGATGCTAATTCCACATACACTTATAGGGTTCTTGCCATCTGAAGTTCTTGCCATGGAAAACCTTATAGGATATAGATTTTCCTTCTTTTTAAAAATAATGTTATTGAGCACTCGTACTTTTTATCACAATTCATACATCCATCTATTGTATCAAGCACATTTGTACATTTGTAGCCATCATCATTCTCCAAACATTTTCTTTCTACTAGAGCCCTTGGTATCAGCTTATCATTTCCCGCCCCCTCCCTCATGAACCCTTGTTCATTTATAAATTATTATTATTTTGTCCTGTCTTACACTGTCCGATGTCTCCCTTCACCCACTTTTCTGTTATCTGGCCCCCAGGGAGGGGGTTATATGTACATCCTTGTAATCAGTTCTCCCTTTCTCCCCCACCTTCCCCTTAGCCTCCTGGTATTGCTACTCTCATTATTGGTCCTGATGGGTTTATCTGTCCTGGATTCCCTGTGTTTCCAGCTCTTATCTGTACCACTGTATATCTTCTGGTCTAGCCGGATTTGTAAGGTAGAATTGGGGTCATGATAGTGGTGGGGAGGAAGCATTTAAGAACTAGAGGAAAGTTGTATGTTTCATAGTTGCTATACTGCATGCTGACTGGCTTGTCTCCTCCCTGCGACCAGTTGCCTACAGACGGGCTTTGAGTCTCCACTCTGCACTCCCCCTCATTCACAATGATATGATTTTTTGTTCTTTGATGCCTGATACCTGATCCTATTGACACCTTGTGATCACAGACTAGTGTGCTTCTTCCATGTGGGCTTTGTTGCTTCTGAGCTAGATGGCCGCTTGTTTATCTTCAAGCATGTACAATCCCAGATACTATATCTTTTGATAGCCAGGCACCATCGGCTTTCTTCACCACATTTGCTTATGCACCTGCTTTGTCTTCAGTGATCATGTTGGGAAGGTGAGCATCATGGAATGTAGGGTAGAGATTTTCCAGCAGGTTATTGCCCATTGTTGAGCCAGGAAATTACCATACAGGCTACAACTAGGTCTTTTTTTTTTTTTAAGTAAAATACAAAGAAGATCAAATATTATCTGGGTGCATTTTATGAAGTATGGGTAATAATTTCTCATAAAACTTTAGTTTGAATGAAAATTCAGAATAAAAAAAATGGAGACCCAACCTAAGCAACCCTTAAGGCCATGCTTCTGTATTCTAGTGAACATCACTTATAAAGTGGGTTGTGATGTTATTTGTATTTCTGGTAATGGGCTGCAATTGTTATTGGCTGTGACAGGCAGATCCAAGGAGAGCATGGGACCATAGGCGAGGTGGAAGGCCCTGTGTGCCTGGATGAGACTTTGACCTTTATTCAGTCAGGAATGTAGAGAGGTGACATAGCCAGCTTGGGGCTGAAAGGGACTGGGACCCATGTTCCTTGAGTGCAAACCTCAGTCATTTCATTTCAGAGAAGAATAAGGAAACAAGACCGTAGAGGGATACAGTACTCACTTTCCTGAGAATCCGTTCATTGTTGATGCTGGTTTTCAGGTCCTTTTTAATGGCTGGACACATGGATGTCTGAGACTGTGTGCAGTACTGCTCATATGTTTTCAGGAGCTTTTGAAGAATGTGAACAATGGGCAAGGGTGCTCCTTTCGATTTTTGTTTCCCATCCTTTGTTCTTGGCATTGCTTACGTTGTCCAATTCCACTTGGATTCTGAAAATAGTAACTTACCCTGAAATTCAACACACAGATGTCTAAGAAGCAGAACACATCGCCTCCACTAAAAATTGACAGTTATTCCTGCACATTTTTCTCCATAAGTCTCAAAATACTTCGTTTATTTTAATAAGGGGACAAAGGTTAGAGAAACTCAGGCAAGGTAGAGGTAGACGAAGCAGATGAAAAACTCCAAACCCTGTGCCATCACACCGACTCCCGCTCTCAGCACCTTACATGGGTTCCCGGGACACAGCCAGCCTCGTCTTTTTTCGACAGCGTGGCTGCTGGTTTGCATGTCTGTACGTTTGGTCTTCTTGGCAGGCTCCAAAATCTACAGCTGTGTCTCTGCCACAGCTGTATCTGTATCTGAGAATTTTTCTCATCTGGTATTTAAAAGCCGTGAGGCCTTGAATCATCCACAGCTGTGTCTGATAATTTTTCTCATGTGTGATCTGTGAGTCTGATTGCTCAAAATTGTCTGTCCGAAGGAAAGTCTGCTAAGGCATATTCACTAAGGTTGGTCTTCCATAATCTGTAAATTGGTCACTTATAGTGAGCTCCAAATTATCTGTCCCAAAGGGAAGCTCCCTAGGGTGCATTCTGTCCACCTGGTCTCCCTGTGCTTACCAACCTACAGCTAAGTGGGGCTGGCCATGTGGTCCTCTCTGTGGACTGGCTGCTCTATTTGGGGTCATCGTCCTCAAGGCCTGGTGGGCCAAGATGTGCTTCAGTCTCTCCTCCTCCCCCGTCATCTGTTCCTGTGTGCTCTGGTCAGATAGATCCTTCTCCCGAAGCTGCAGATTCAGAGCCATTCTTTGAGATACATTCTTCTCGGGGGAGGAGCCTGAGGTTTTTACAGAATGCAGCAGCTACTAGTATTATTTAGATATAGACAAATACCTCATGATAGTTATTGGTCTTAGTCTTATAGGTTATTTCAAACATTTGGCCTGCTATTGTTTGTGTCTTTGTCCTGTCTCTGGCTTTCTTAGAAGCTGGGACAACCCACTTGTGCCCTAAGATCTTTTTTTAACTCTTGGTCTCATTCAGTCTGTTAAGGGAATAGGAAACCCGCCCCCCTCCCCTCGCCAAATCAAGTCACTATTTGAGTTTAGGCAGGTCATAAAATCATTTAATCTGGATTTGCAAGCAATGTTATGATGTCTCTGTCTAATGCTTACAGTCTGTTTAGTTTATCAGTTTCTTAATTATATACTTAAAAACAATTATTCAGAAGAGACCTCAACTCAAGTAGAGTCAGCTTTTCACTTGGTGGGGTGGACAGGAGAGAACCACGCTGTTTCTGCCGTAGAATATCGTCCTACAGTTACCCTAATTTAATAGACACTCTGAGAAGGTGAGAGGTAAATCTGTTGCTTAGAAAGCAATCTTACTTGTGTTGGAGGGTAAACTAGAGAGGGCAATTTGCCTTTAGAGAAACCCTAATTACCAGTATGGACCCCCAATTAAAAGTCTGCCCTGTGTGATGTTAGTAATCATGCATTTCTGACTGAATATTTTCTGCCCTTTGGTGATTCAGGCTAGATAGGCTACCTGGAGTTTAGAATTTGTCTTTGCAAAGTATACAGCTGTCTTCAAAGGTCCTATCGAAGTGAGGTGTGGGAACCTCACTAAATGAATGAACTTTACCATAGACACACCTGCTGCAGATTAGAGGGACTGGAATACTCTTTTAGACTTTAAACTGAAACACCCTAGCGTGAGAAGCAGCAGAGGACTGCTAACCTAAGCTCCTGGACTCTGAAGCTACTGGATCCTAGTTCAAATCTCTCTTGCTTTGAGGTTATCCAACGACTGATAGCTCAAGACCACCAGGTACTTGCTATTTTCCTTGCTTTCAGTGATGTGCTCTAGTTCTGCAGACAAATCGTTTTGCCTTAATATTTTATATCTAATGCTGTAAGGTTATAGCATTGTTTCCTTCAACATCATTCTGTATAAGTGAATGTTCTAAGTATTTTAGTCTTAAAAAGGCATATATATGTACACACACACACCTTACAGGTGTGAATGGATTTTGATCTTACATTTAATCTAAACCCTAACATAAGAATAATTTGTTCTTAGGATGGGGCCCTGCTCAGTACTCAAGCCTCGTGCATGGATCACTGAAATATAGGTGCACAACAAAGTGTGACAAAGAAACCAGATGGCACTCGGCTCTCTGGAAGAACAGTGTCTGGGGCCTTGAGGATTTATTTCAAAATAAGCAGACACTTGAGTGAGTGTAAGCTAAATCCACATGCAAGAGACACACTGGCTTGTAAAGGATTATTAATGGTATGATCCATAATCAGAGGGAGACTTGTTTTTAATCATTTTGTTGGGGGCTCTTACAGATATTTTAACAATCCATAAATCAATTATATCAAGCAAACTTGTGCATAGGTTGCCATTGTCATTTTGAAAACATTATCTTTTTACTTGAGCCCTTATTATCAGCTCCTCTTTGTTATGACTTGTATTTAAGATTAAATTCTGAGTGTTTTTGAAGATTATGACAGTGGGGCACAAAATCCATTTGCAGAGCCACCACATAAATTGAGTTTCTACTGAGTTCCTTCAGGTCATAACCAAAGATGTAGCGTCTTAAACCAATTTCATGGATATGTGCTCATGTAGATGAGGAGTGGGGAAAATGATATAGGGAAAGGGAAGAGGTCACTTGCTGCCATTCAGTATGAGAAATATAACATAACTGAATATTTAGTTTGTTAAAAATCCAAAACGTAACCTTCCCGTCCCTTATAATCAAAAGTCCTTTTAAGCTTAATCAGCAAGGATGTCCCAACTTGAGAAGGAGGCTAGCAAGATCATAAACATAAGTAGCAAGATCTTAAAAATAAGCATCGCCCAAGGGTACATGAAGCTTCAGGGGATGGTGGTCTAATGGCCCCTGGAGAATTGTAGATACAGATCATTTCCTAATGATCATTGCAGAACCTGCCTTCTTAGACTATCAATTGGATCTTGTGACATTGTAAAAACCTGTTAACCTCATCCTATAATCATTGTAAAACAAAGACAACCCTGTTTCATGTATATTAACTTGTGGGGTCAGGACTGAACTCTGAAACCACTCAGAGGAGAAACCTGGCTGTTTTCCTACTGCAAGCACTTGCCGGAATCAACTTAGACTTTCTCGAATCAACCTGGTCTCTGCTTTGGATATTCTGACAGGCTCTCCCAGGTCCCCTGCAGTCTGACAACAGCACCACCAGGAACTGTTCAAGTTCTAATTTCCGTCTTTGTGGGCCGATGGGGGAAGTCAGCCCAGAACTCAATAATAAAGGATTCCAGTTCTGACCCATAGTGACCCCAGGCACAACCGAATGAAACACTGCCCAGTCCTGTACCATCCGCACAATTGTGCCTATGCTTAAACCCATTGCTGCAGCCACTGTGTCAATCCGTCATGTTGAGGGCTTTCTTACTTTTCATGGTACCTCCACTTGGAAAAAAGATGATGTCCTTTGCCAGGGTGTGTTAGTCTGGGTAGACTAGAGAAACAAATCCATGGACACACATATGTGTATAAGAAACAGAGTTATATACAAGAGCAAATGAACATTGAGAAAATATCCCAGCCCAGTCCAGATCAAGTCCATGAGTCCGATATTAGCCCATATTTCCGATATAAATTTATAAAGTCCTCTTCAGACTCA